ACACAAGCCTTGAGCAGAACAGTTCAGGGGTTATCATCCACAAACCAGGATTGGCACAAAAAACGGAAAAAGAAGTCTCTTCCTAATTCTTGGACCTCTTTCATCTGTGAGGCATTGTTCCTTTGGTGCTTTCAGAATCTTCTCTGTTCTGAATTGGCTATGGCTATACGGATCCTATCTTCATGCTGGGAACCTCTGACCTCACATGCAGATATACTGCTACAATTTTCTCAAATAAGCTTTGATTTTTACTTGATTTTTATAATGCAAGCATTTCTTTTGCTGCTGTCTCATAAATCCTGCAAGCTTTCTTTATTCCTTTACAATCTTATTTCTTCTATACGTGCTAGCTATAAACGTTTAAATAAATTACCTTCCTATGTAGATTCTTCTGTTACATCAATTCTGTCAATGATGCAATTTCAGAATTTCTTTTAAATAGTTTCAATCTCTTAATATTCTATTTGTGTTGCTGTTTTCCTGAATTACATCTCTGTATTTTTTTTAATTCATCTGTCTCCTTAAAAACTATTACTCTGTTTAAGCATGCTGTGCATGCTTGTAAACCCAGCAACTCCAAAAAGGTACATAGGAAGATCACAAACTCAAGGCCAGAACATTTCAGATCCTGTCTAGAAAAAAAATCAAAATAAAAACAAAAGGAATAAAGGACATAGTGATAGAATGCTTGCCTATCATGTGTAAAGCCCTGAGCTCAATCCCAAAGCCAAGACAAGAAAGGAGGGGAAGAGGAAGGGAAAAGAGAGAAGGTAAGAGGGGAGGGAAGGGAGGAAGAAAATGAAGGGGAGGGAGTTTGAATTATCAAATGGACATTTTTTAGGATTAGGTAATGGTGCTTTACTTTGTTCCTTTGGTGGTGACATGTTTCCGACTGTTCTTGATCCTTGTGGTCATATTTGGTGTCTCAATATTTGAAGAAGTAAGGATTGACTGGTCTTTGTAGATGTGTTTTGCCTTTAAAAAACAGCCAACCTGTAAAGAAATTTTCAGCACATCATCTGATGTGACCATGGGTAGGCCTGCACTTGAGTCTCTGACTAAACAGGGCAATCCCACAGGTCAGCATGTAGGCAGGCCTCTACCCTGCATCTAAAAGACTGGAGATGAAGCCTGATTTACAGTAGTGGGTTTTGGTCCATAAGGATCCATATCCCCATACATGCCAAAGAATCTACATCCACAGGGACTGGCATGATGCAGAGTTCCATGGAGACTAATGGGCACTGGGGTTAGGCCTAAAGCCTAAATATGCAGCAGCTACTCCTATACTGGGATGGACATAACACATGAGTTTCTCGAGATAAACCTGATGGCTGAGCACACAGTATTTGGCCAGTTGCTTGGGGAAAGAAATCCTGGAGCCTCAGCACAAGGCATGGTAACAGAAGGCTTAGGTGGGTTTAATACTCTTGGATCACTGAAGCTTGAGGCCAGAGAACCTGGTTTGGAGTCAAACTAGTTCTGTGACAGCCCGTGTAGCCAGGATCTGGAAGAGCCAGTCGGGAGGCTGAGTGAGGGTGCTGGCCTAGAGGGCAGGTCCCTGAAAGAAGGCTGCTGAGGCAGACCTAGTACAGGGATGATCCTGGAGCTGGAGCCTAGAGGGGACTGAGCATATGCAGATCCAGGTCTGGCCTGAATCCTGGGCCTACTGTAATGTAGAGCCCTAGAGGTTAGGCTAGATATGGATTTGGAGGTTCAGCCTGGCACTGGGCAAGCCTAGAGCCCTGGATTATAGGATTTGGTCTGGCACTGGGATGGCCTGGAAGTTCAATTGGGTACTAGCTGGAATCCATAGCCAGGGACTGACCAAGCCCTGGGTGTTATTAAGAACCCGACCTCCTCCCCCCAACACACTCCCCACCCCCGCCGTGTCCATGGCTGATGCTGAGGTAGAGGGACAGGTAAAGCAGGAAATGTAATATGATCTTCCAAACCTCGTCAATGCATTGTTTCTTATTTCCATGCCATACCCCACCTCTCATCTGGTTTCCTTACCTTTTATAAAGGTGATTTTATCCATGGATAATCATTTCTTGTTTCTACAGTGTGATGAGTACTGCAAATCGTACTCCAACCATCTAACAACTAGACTACACAACACAACTCTCTTTTGCAAATAATCCTACAACTTAGTTTGGCCCTACCATCTTTCCAAACATGGCACTGTCAAGAGCATATAGATTTAACTACTATAATGTGAAAATTCTATGTGATTAGTTCTGTCTTACTGAATCTGCTAAAACACAATCTGAAATACCATAAATAACTTTTTGGCTCCTGGAGAAGTCATTAGATTACACGTATGAAAGTCTTCTAACCTCAGCTGGCTGTTCAATGCATTAGGTTTTCAACAATTACTAGTCTGCTTCTTCCATAATAAACTTATTAACTTTCTAGGTTTTCAGTATCGCAAATCCTTTAACCAAAACTCATATTCTTCATAGTATTCCACAAAATGTGAAAAAATATTTCATAAAAAGTCAATGAAATGCCACCTCACATCCATTAGGTAACTACTACCAAAAAGTAAATTATATTTATTTAACAAAGATGTAGGAAAATTGAAATCCTTGTGCACTACTGGTGCAATGTAAAAAGTATAGAAACCACGGATAACAGAATGTCAAGTTCTCAAGTAATAAACACATAATTACCCTATCACTGAGTAAGTCCACTTGCGGGTATATACCCAGAATAATTTAAAGCAGGATCTCAAACAGTATACATAGACTCATAGCAACATTATTCACAACAGCTAAATCATGAAAATAATCATTAACAGATAAATGGACAAAGTACTGCATATATAGAGAGGTATCATTCAGCCTTAAAAAGAAATTCTGACATATGCTCTAACATGCATGAAACCTGAGGACATTTCATATACTAAGTGGAATACACTAATCACACTAATCACCCAAAGGCAAAACCTGATGCATACACTTACATGAGGTACTCAGAGTAGCTACAAATAAGATAGTAAGTATAAGGGTAGTTGCCAGGAGCAGTGAGTACGGGCAACTGACTTACTGGGCACAGTTTCAGTATTACAAACTTAAGAGTTCTGGTGATGGCTGGAGGTACGGTTCAAGTGGTAGAATGCCTGCCTAGCCAAGCATGAGGGTCCTGAGTTCAATCCCAGCATGAACCAAAAAATGGAGAAAAAAGAAAACGTTTAACCAGGTGCCAGTGGTTCTTGCCTGTAATTCTAGCTCCTCAGAATGCTGAGATCCAGAGGATTGTGGTTCGAAGTAAATCTGGGCAGAAAAGTCCACAAGACTCCATCACCAAAATAACCCGCAAAAAGCCAGGCTGGAAGCACGGCTCAAGTGGTAGCCAAGCAAGCAAAATCAACAAGCATAACACCCTGAATTCAACCCCTAGAATTGGCAGAGTTCTAGTGATGACTGCACAACAGTATTAACATTCATAATACCACTCAAATGTTCAACTTTTTCATGTTTATTTTACAATATTTAGAAGTTACAGAGTCACATAATTTGAGGAATAACTTTAAACATTGAGACTCACAATGTTCATAAGCATTTGGAATTATGTGATCTATTTACAGAGAAAAAATTAATTTTGTCAAACTTGCTAACCCATACCATTTAATCACATACCATTTAATCATATCTATCTTTACACCTCCTGATGAAGGTCTTTCCTCTTATTCAACCTAAAACTTTACATCTTAAAAACCTTGTTTTAATAATGACTACCTATATAATGTTAAACATCTAAAATTCTTACAAGAAATTACTCCAGTATTACTTATTTCATTTTCTGAATACTTGCCTTAAATTCAGAAAAAAATCTGATCATGAATCCTCATTATAGCACTGCCTTATTAAGGCTTTAAGTGACTGAACAACTACTAATGCCCTAATTACCCTAATACCATACCACATTTGTCTTTAAATCTACTTTCTGCTATTAAATTCATTGTTTTCAATGTCTGAGAGGAAGAACCCAAAGGCACAATGTCTCTGATTATATATAAAGTAATAAGTATCAAAATGAATTCCAGGAAATGGAAATCAAAATGCCTGACAGGACTAATACTAAGCCAATGGCTTATGATTCCCTCATATCTAGGAGATAGAAGCCAAAACCCTTTTCATAGCATACAAAGCCCTACTGAGTCATGTCTAACAATCAATTCATTTCCATTATTTGATGCTTCTCTCAATCAATAATCTAAAAGACCTCAATTGCCTACTACTTCCTACACTCAGTATGCTGCCTCATGACCTTGGGCATGCTTCTACTTAAAATAACCCTAACTCAAGTTTCCAGCTGCCCAACTCCCGGTAACATTAAAAGACTCTAGTCACATCTGTCTTTCTGCCATGTGGACTTAAGTTCCTATCATCCAAGAGGTACTTGTGTGTCCAGTGCATCCCCAATACCATCCTATTTCAATGACAGGAAAGATGTGCCGCAGAGTCTTTCACTCTATGTATAAGCTTCTCTGTATATATTAAAGAATTAGGAAAATTCTTATACATCTTTCATCCACAATATAGGATCTGATGCCTTATACTTAGAGTAAACTAAGGAGCATTTAAACAATCCTGCTTTAATGAGCCAAACTGCCTGATAACAGACACTAAGGTTACTGTACTCTTCACCTAGTCTCCCAATTTCCTCACAAATGCAAGGGGAGTAGAGATGTAAGCATCTTCAGGAATATGCACTATAGGTAATTGCACAAATAAATAATTATCTATTTCCTAGATAATTACAAGTCAATTATCAATTACTAGATAACTGTCAAAAGCAAATTATCCAGTGTCTTAGTGTAAGAAGTGTAGAAGTACTTGGTAGGGAAAGAGTAAATATGTTCTTATTTCTTGATACATTTTTAAGTCATTACTTTTCTTCTATCTAGAAATTGTTTTAAAATAATGTGATACCATTTAAAGCAGTGTAGTGTAACTCAAACTACTCCCCAGCCTCAACCAAGTTATACTTACATTCGGCTAGTTTCTGTGTTGTCAGACTGGGATTCTCCTGATGATCTGCAAAATGCAATGAAGGAAAAGTTAGCACAGCACTCCATAGTTCAAAAAAGAACACACATGCAACTTGGGAAGGCAAACTCTAAAACAAGCTTAAGCACTAAGTAAGAATTGTAAAAATAAAGACTTCAATGTGAGAAAAAAAATAGTGGTTGGATCAGATTGCCTTAGGAAACATTTAGTTTAAGGACTAATAAAATGCAAAGGAAAGAAAAGTACCAACACTGTATTTGACAAATGAATATAAGCCAAAATTATTGAAAAGTGAAAGATTTGTAATAAAAACACACAACTGTGAATTTTTCTATAGCCAAGTACTGGTTATCCCAGTAACAAAGTGATTTTCCTGCTCTTTTTTTTTTTTTTTTTTTTTTTAAGATCGGGAAGGGGGTCAGCAAACTGCAGACTGGGCAAACACACTAAATACTAGGCTCACCAACTACTTTTTTGGAGTGTGTGTGTGTGTGTGTGTTTAAAGAGTAGCCACAATCATTTAGGAACTGTCTATGACAGCTTTCACGTTAAAGGCACTAGGCTGACTAGAATACATTGCATATAAGCATGGAACAGCACACCCCCTTCTGTATAGCTAATACACAGTCATTTTAAAGTCTGACGAGATAAATGTTTAACCTGATTTAAGCATCATATATACATATTGTGTGTGTATGTGTACACATAGAAAGCCTAAAATATTTACTAGGTGACTGTTTAAGAAAAGATCTACCAAACGTCTACCAAAAAAAGGAAAAAAACAAAAAAAAATCTAATAGCTCTGGCACATTTCAGAGACAAACATGATTATCTTGTCTCAAACACACACACACACACACACACACACACACACACACACACACACACTAGCAAGAACACCTGTCAAAAGTGCATCATATAAGTAAGCCAGGTGCCCAATGTTCAAGCCTATAATCCCAGCTACTTGGAAGGCCAACAGCAAGACTGAGGCTCAAGGCCAGCCTCATATACAGAAAAGTACATGAGACCCTTTAATAACCCATAGCTAAGCACAGTGGCCTGTGCCTGTCGTCCCAAGCAACAGGAGATGTTGAGAATAAGAGAACAATAGTACCAGGCCAGTACTGGCAGCAAAGTCCAAGACTCTTGCTGTGGAGGAAAGTTAAGACACAGTGGTCCAATGATGACGGAAAACCTGAAGTTAGCAGATTGCTGCTTGGGGAGCTCATGGCAGGAAGCCAAACCCTACCCTAAAAACTAACCAGTGAAAAACAGGGCTGGAGGTGTGGTTCAGTGGTATTGTGCCAGTCTACAAAGTACAAGGCTGTAAGTTCAAACCCCAGTAACTGCCAAAAACAAAAGTGTATCATCTGCAGTATAATCAATAACTAACTTTAGTTTAAAATAGTTGTCAACTGTTTTATTTCTAAATATATAAATATATATGAAGTCTTAAAATTCTAAGGCATTAAGAAGTTTTTCACTTTCATTTTGGGGAACAATTTTTCCTATCCCTAGTGTGTTACTTTAAAACAAACAACAACAACAAAAAGAAACCTCAGAACCAAACAGAGTGGCCCAGCTTCAGCACTAGTGAAGCTGAGGCAAGAGGATCTCAAGTTCAAGACCACTCACAACTACATGATGAGACCCTATCTTAAAAAAGCAAACAAAAATCTCTTTTACTCCATAAAAAGTATCACCGGTAGGAGTCAATGTTATAAAGTGAATAATGTAAGAACCTATTTCTAATGATTACAAATTCCCTAAACGATTTTTTCAAACATTTAAGTATGGCTCATTCTTCTAATCCTAGCTATTCAGGAGGCTGAGATCTGATCATGGTTTGAAGCCAGGCAAGAAAATATGAACCTGATCTCCAATTAACCACCAAAAGGCTGGAAATGGGAGCTGTGGTTCAAGTAACCGAGCGCGCGCACCCGTGCATGTGTGCGTGTGTGTGTGTGCGTGCGTGCATGTGTGTGTGAGTGTGTGTGTGTTGTGGGGCTTGAACTCTGGCCTTGGGTGCTGTCCCTGCACAGCTCAAGGTGAGTGCTCTACCACTTGCCTTTAACTTTTTTAAAAGCTCAGGGACAAACTGGGAGCCTAGCTACTCAGGAGGCTGAGATCTTAGGATCAAGGTTCAAAGCCAGTCCGGGCAGGAAAGTCTGTGAGACTCTTATCTCTAATCAACCACCAGAAAACTGGAAGTGGCGCTGTGGCTCAAGTGGTAGAGCACTCACCCTGAGTTGAAGAGCTCAGGGACAGTGCCCAGGCCCACTGTCCCCACACGGATCCAAAAAAAAAAAAAAGCAGCTCAGGGACAGCATCTAGGCCTTGAGTTCAAGCTCCAGTGTACACACATACGTACACACGTACACGTACACACACACACACACACCTTTAAACAGGCATACAAGGAAGTGATTTGTGAATGTATTAGACTATACAATTTTAATTTTAATTTTTTTTTAAACTGAAGAATCTTCAAGGGCTTAGAGCTTGACTCAAGCGGTAGAGCACTTGCTTAGTTGGCTGGAGGCCTCAAAATTCAATACTCAGTATCACAAGAGATAAAAAGTAATCTTAAAAAATCAGCTCTATCCTAAATTTCCTCACTTAAAATCTCATTTCTATACTAGGATTTCAAAATTACACATCACAATCCATTCAACATTCTAAGTCAATAATGCAAAAAGACCTTTATTTATATTTTCAATCTATACAAAATAATATAGGAACTAACCACTGAGGCAGGTGGGGCTAGGAATGTACCTTAGTGGTATAGTACTTGCCAAGCAAGAACAAAGCCTTGGGTTCAATTCCTCAGTACCACATAAACAAAAAACAAAAAGCCACAAGTGATGCTATGGCTCAAGTGGTAGAGTGCTAGCTTTGAGCAAAAAGAAGCTCAGACACAGTGCCCACGCCCTGAGTTCAAGACCCAGGACTGGCCAAATAAGTGTAGCAGTGTCACAGCAATGACATCAATACAAATTTTCTGCACTGTCTCCCCAAGGGAATAAGCAAATCACCTATATGATGCATGTGCTCTCTACCAGTTCTGTAGATAAATACAAGACTGCTTCCAGACTCGAATCCCCAAAACAGAACACAAACTTCATGATAACCAGCTGACTCATTGTTGACTGTGTACTCATCTAGCATCAAATGTCATACTATAAGGAAAAACTGCCGGCTTACAAAACAAATACTGGCACTGAGAAAAGAGAAGCAGATTAGAAGCTTTTATACAGGTAAATAGAAAAAAAAGTTCCAAATTAACATGTGAAAAGATAAAACAAGGGAAATTAATCCATCCCAAAAGAACAATAAGTAAGTGCTCCAAGTTTTAAGATCCTGAAACTGTACAAAAATTGAAAGTACCATCAAAAGGCAACTACAGGTTTTTTCCCAAATCATGTTCCCTAAAGAAGCAAATATGTATTAGTAACAAAATCGCACCAAAATATTGTAAACATATTAGATTACTAATTGATGTTTACATATATCAAAAACCAGTTAAGTCAAACCAAATAATTTAAGCCAATCAAGTCTAGAAAGTCAAGAGAACAGTGAGGATTCGAAGATAATTAGCCCTAAAATAAATCTGTCATGGGTCTGAAACGTAAGTTGCTTTCTATTCAAATTGTCAGCTTTTTTAAACCTGAGAGAAGTGAATATATATATATACACTAACAGAAATGTGTTCAATAATCATAATACATGTCTGAATAAATTTCCAGACACCCTTGCTTATAGTAATTTCTCTAATATTCTAAATTAGTTACTCTAAAATTAATCTATGGCTGTGTGTGGTGGCTCATACTTATAATCCCAGCAATTTAGGATATAGAAATCAGGAGTGTGGCCTAGGTAAAAGCTAGCAAAACCCCACCTCAACATATATACCAGACATGGTAGCGCCTGCCTATGATCCCAGCTACTTGGTAGAAGTATGTAAAAATCTGTGAGCTGGAGCCAAGACTGACCCAGGCACAAGCTTGAGAGTTTATGTAAAAAATAACTAAAGTAAAAGGGGGCAGGAGTATGGCTCAAGTGGTGCAGTGCCTGGCTAGCAAGTTCAAACCCTAGTATCATTAAAAGAAAAAAAAAATTCTAAAATCAAGACTCAAACTCTCAAAACATGGCACATATATATATATATATGTGTGTATATGCGTGTATATGTATATAAGCATACAGATATATGTATAAACATATACATATCTATCTCCTTTTCTAATAGTTCCCAATCTACATTTTGGCTCCTAAATAATGTATTTATAGTAAGAATCTTGTACATCATCTTAATTTTAGAAAATGTTATAAAAATTCAAAAGATTTAACAAAGGAAAAAAATTTTAAATAAAGATGTTTAAAAAAAAAAAACCTATGACATATCCTAAAGTTTGCCAGGAGATTCACCAGAAAGACAGTTTCAAATAGAAACATTTTAAAGTTATATTAAAAAATAAATCTCAGGAGTATCAATTTTTATGTCTTAATTGAAGCAGAGAAAATATGGTCATTAAACAACAAGAAAATATGACCATAAAACACCACTAATCTGAATACTGCAGTATGAGCTAGTAAGTTCAAACGCTGACTCATTTCCAATAACACTCAGTGTAGCAACTGCATTCTATAAAGCTACTTTTACACCACTGTAACTCTCTGAGAGAATAGCTTATTATTTTCATTAAAGATGCAAAAACTTCTTGACAAATATTTTAACTTCCGCCACATAAAGGCATAGATTATGATGTATACTAAGCTGGGCACTGGTGGCTTATTACAATATACAGAGCTGGGTAATGGTAACATGGTGGCATATATGTATGTGTGTATGTACATGTATATTTCCAGCCGTTCAAGAGGCTAAAATCTGGAGGATTAAAACAAGCCCAGGCAGAGAAGCATGCGACTCCATCTCCAATTAACCAATAAATGCTGGACTAGAGGCATGGCTCAAGTGGTAGTGAGCACGCAAGCAGAGCAAACAGAAAGCCTCAAGTTCTGGTATTGGCAAAGGGGTGAGGGAGGAGAAAGCATACACTAAGACATTTTCCATATCTTCTGTAAAATGTTCATATTTTAAAACCTGAATCCTGATTAATACTTCTTTATCCATGTAAACAAATCTTTGGTGGTAGTTTCTTACCTCATGGATAGGAATGGGAGCAAAGCACTGAAACATTTCAGGAAAATTAAATGGACAAAAAAGTAAATTCTTGCTGGTGCTAGTGGCTCATGCCTATAATCCCAGCTACTTAGGGAACTGAAATCTGGAGACTGAAGTTAGAAGCCAGCCCAGGCAGACAATTCCCAGAGACTATCTCCAATTACCCAGTAAAAAGTAGGAGGTAGAAATGCAGCTCAAGTAGTAGAGCATGTGCATTGGGCAGAAAAGTCAAGAAAAAACAAGAAGCACTGAGTTCAAACCCCAAAACTGGTACTGAAAGAAAAAAATAAATAAAAGGTCAATTCTTAGGTCCTCTATTTTTTACAATGTTCCTACTAACTATACATTTTCTTTGTTTGTATGTATAGCATGTATTTTACTTTACAATGACAGCCTTTTAAAGGCTGTAAAATAACGTTCAAAATTACCTTTTACAAGCTGTGGCCATTCGGTGACATCAGGGTGATCACAGCTTTGAGTCACTGATTAAAAACAGGTTGTCACACCAGTCTAGCTGCTAACTTGATCTGAGCGTAGGCTTAGTAACTCTAATAAATTAAACAAATCTTTAGTTAGAAACACTTAATATATAAACTCAATTCATTGTTCAAATAATAATCTTTGAAGCTGTAAATCAGGTATTCATACAAAATGTATCACAAGGATAATTATCACAGGAAATTTTCTGAAGACTTTGCTAGTATGTTATTTTCTTTAAAATGTCTTCTCTTGAGAAAATGTGATATAGGATAAGCATCCCTAACCCTAAAATGAAATATGCCCGCAAAGTTCAAAATGTCTGAAACACCAAGTCAACAACTCAAGTTGTACATTTGCGAGCATTTCAGTCTCCGGATTTTTGAATTAGGAATACTCAACCAGCAAAGTCTATACAAATATTTCAAAAGCTGAAAAGCACTGAAATCTGAAACATCTGAGAAGCACTGAAAACTGAAATCTGAGACTCAGGCACTTTGGGTAAGGTACTTATCCTTAAAAATTCCTTGTACTTTTTATGTAGTATAAGAGTTTTCAAGGTACTCTGATCATAGTTTAAAAGTCTCACAACAACTTAATACTAATAAGAATCAGATGCAGGGTGATTGACTTGCCCAAGATTTTAGAGTCAATTTTGAAATTAAAATCAAGATCTACTGACTTTATACTGAGGGGTTGGAGGTTTTGTTTTGGCTTAGTTTTGCTATACAGAGTTTTATGACAAATAAATGAATATAACAGATGAAAAAGGATGTATAACAATATGGCAACAGTTTCAATGAGACTAATGATTCATCACAGGATTCTTAAAGTGAAGGAGCAATGGGTTGCAAATTCTAAATATACACACACATACACACACACCCACTTACTGTACATTATTAAGTAGTCATCTAACAGCAGCAAAAATACCTGGAGTGCTTTACCAAACTATGTTTTACTCATTCTCAGTCACAAACCCATTACATTCTGTTTTATGAAAGACTAACACAAAATATACAAATACATCTCTCTTGACCAAGTATGTATCTTTCTTACTCCATGCATAGTCTTAACCAAACTTCCTGACTGAAATTTAGCAGACTTCCTCAATCATAACATGATTCTGACAAAAAAAAAAATCACGTGTAAAAAAACCCCAGGATGTAGAGATCCTTCTTGCCAATCATTTTCCCCTTAAAATTTCCCTACCCAACTATGTATCAAAGCAAATCTGAGAAGCAAAATAAGCAAAGATGAGATGATTAAGAAGAAGGAAATTTCATAATTAAAACCTTCACACTAGTAACAACATGGACCCAGCACCAGATGAAGGCTTGAAACATCAGTGCTTAAGCTCATAGCCAGGCAGCTAGGAAGACTAAGCTTCAAATCCAGATAAGGGTTACAGTTGACCAAACTTTAGTGGACTGTAGTAAATAGAATTTATAATCCCTGTAAGAAGAAACTCTATTTCCTCTACTTTCCTATCTTAGCCATGATTCCTAAGAAGGATGCAAGCATCACTGAGTAAGTAATAAAGAAGCAATGACATTCCTGAAATACACAATGTACTCAAGGCAGGTCTTTCTTCGTTTCTCTTGAAACAGTATGTGGACTTAAGAGATCCCAGAGGTCTAAGAACAACTTCCAACTCACAAACAGAAATGAGAAAGATAAAATATTTTGCAGCTGACAAATTGACCTCAAATAATTACCAGCTACATGTAATTTTAGAACGACTACAGTCAAATACTATCTTCCAGTCCCCTCGTTTATGAGGCACAGTGCTCAGCAGAATATAAACAGGTTCCAACGTCAAGGCTGGGATTCATGCCTGCATGGCCATTTACTAGCTGAGAAATCTTGGGCAAATTACTTAACCTTACTGAATCTCAGTTTCTATGTAGACAGAATTAACAGTACTATAAGCTGTCATTAGTATGAATGAGCTAACATCTAATTAGCCCCAACAATACCTGGCATATAATGTGCTTACAAATGGAAGTGATTACTAATCTACACAGTCTAACAGCCAAACCTATATCCTCGATCTCTATACGTGTATCATTTTATATTTCGCATTGTACTAATTGCTTATAAATTCTTTCAGCAGCCTACTTAGGTCCCTCATATAGTCTACCTGGTAGCACACTCAATACTTACAGAAATGCTTTTAAATTGACAAGTGCTCAAATTTATTGAACATGTCATTATTCTAATATGATATTAAGATAATTCATGCAATATGAATTTCAAACAATAAAACCAATATAACATTACTTTGCCAAACTTCTGAGGAGGTGGTGAATTCTAAAATCAGTCTCTTAGGACGTATTTTTAACCTAAAATATAAAACACTTCACTCAATTCTCTTTACATAGAAAACTGGATAAACTTCCAATTTTTTTAAACTAAGCTTCATTATAAAATAAAAGCAATTCCATCTTCTGAAATATTTAAGAAGATCCAAAAATACATCAAGAGACAAATTACCCTACTGCTTGTTGCCAGTATGAGAGGCAAGGTGGTTGAGCAGGCCCTGTAGCCTGAACTTGGCAGAGCCAAGTTCCCGTTTTTATCCAAAAGGTAACATTTTCCTGTTCATTAATTACTCTATTCACACTACACATAGGCTAAAAATATATGAAAACCGACTCTATACCTCTAATCCCTTTCAGATACCTACAGTAATTCTGCTTTTAACATGCTGAGCATCTGTTATCTACAAACATGGATGTAAATACACTGCCGCCTTGAGTAACAACCAGGGGCAGATCCTCTGACCTGAGTCCACAGGGAAAGACTGTTGTTTTTAGAGACACCATGTACTAAAACAATATAGAAACCAGGTACTTGTAGCTTATAACCTGTAATCCTAACTACTCAGGAGACTGAGATCTGAAGGTCATTGTTCAAAGCCAGCCAAGCAGTGCATATCTGTAATTAACTAGCAAAACGATGAATTGAAGATATGGGGTAGGTAGAGTGCCAGCTATGAGCAAAAAGGGCCAAGTAACAATTTAAGGCTCTGAGTTCAAGCCCTACTGCCAGTAAACACAAATACACACAGAAAAAAGAAGAATTGTAGAATGCCTTGCTGACATTCATATTCTTCATATTCCTAATCTCCAAGTTATGTACAAAAAATGCCATTCTTTCTTTTCTCCCCTTATTTTTACTTAGTTTAACCACTACTTGTCGGTCATCAAAAATTCTTACAAGTCTTTCATTCAAAATCTATCAACTGGAATTTAAGTGTCTATTAGGTGCAAGAAAATGCAGTTAGTTAAAAAAAAAAAGTCATTTCTAGTCTTCATGTGGAGGGTCACAAGTAAATCACAATGAATTACATAATTACAATGATAGTAAACTAACAATACAGGCAGAGGTATTACAAAGTCCTGACTTCATCTGTGGTAAAGAGAAGAGCAAGATTTATCAGACTAAATCTTATGAGGTACTAGTTGCCAAAATCAGAAAAGCATATAATTCTAAAGCCTCTCTTCCTCAGTATAACAAATTACTTACCAAGCTTTATCAATTCTACCACAGGAATTTCTCCACATTTCAACTATCCTCCAACTATCATCTTCTGATGGCTTTTACTTACTCCAAGAATAAAACTAAATGTCAGTTAAGACTACTGTATACACAGTCTGGAGAAAACATACTAGTGTAGCCTTTTCTTCTCGGCTTCACGAAACTTCTACGGAATATGTAGATCATTTGCTCGTGTGCTTCCAGTGCTTAACCAACATTACAGAAAGACATCTTTAAAAAAAGTAAAATTCAGACATCTCATTTTAGATCTTTTAGTAATTGCCAAGGTTAAAATTCAAATCTAAGCTAGGCACTAATAGCTCATGCCTATAATCCTAATCAGGAGGCTAAGACCTGGAGGATTACAGTTTAAAAATCAATCAAGGCAGAAAAGTCCATGAGAATCCATCTCCAGAAATAACTAGCAAAAAGCCAGAGTGAAGGATGGCTCAAGTGGTAAGGCACCAGCTAGGAGTGATCAAGCATGAGGCTGTGAATTTAAGAAATCAAACTAAACTCAAATTCACTTGAATCTAAACGCTATGCACATTACCTTGCAATCTCTTCTGGTATTCTAAAGCCTGTAAAAAAAATTATTTTCTTTTCCCATGCTTACCTACATTGCTAAAATACAGTGCCTCCTCATTTTATCTGGTTTCTATCTAACCTGGTAGAATTATTAATTGCTTCAATTATCCTCCTAAAAAAACCTAACTATATCACTTTTATATTCAAACATTTCTAGGACTTGTCCTTGAAAATACATTTCCAATTCAATCACATACTGTTTGCGGCCCTTGCCACCAGGTCCCTACCACCCACCATTCAAGCATTACAGCTCTCTCACAAAAGACACATACCATCATCATATACCAAATCTAATCGAATCCAGTCATCAACTTACTGGCAATCACATAATACCTATGTGTAATTCCAATTTCAATGGCTTTGTTTCTCAAGAAATTTCATTTACGAATGCTTCCCTGTGCTCTCCAACTCCTATTCCCAACTTATGTACCAAGTCTACTGCACAGCCACGTATAGTGGCTCATGCCTGGTAGTCACAGACCAGGAAAATCAGGGTTCAAAGCCATCACAGGGAGAAGGATAGATTCTATCTCAACCAATTAAGCTAGTGCTGCATCCTTGTGGCCCAGCTACTCAGGAAGCTATGGGGAAGGACAATCAAGGCCCAGGCCATCCCAGAAAAAAAAGGAGCCCCTATCTAAAAGGCTATCAATCTGTCTAACTAATGTAAATGAAAATAAATAAACAAAATAAAAGACATCCTGAGCAACAGTACCACACTGAAACCAAAGAAAGAAAGGAATGAGGGTCCATGGCCTGACATTATCATGAGCTAGTCCCAAATGCAATTCCTTGCTAAATAAGATGATCATTTCTTCCAAAATTAACATAAATATAATCCAATGCCAATTTCACTAGCTATTTCAAATACTAAATATGTAAGAATAACCAAATAGTTGTTTCTCATACAAGAATATATCTTTCTCCCAAAGAATCTTCC